TTCCTTCCTTCCTTCCTTCCTTCCTTCCTTCCATCCATCCATCCATCCATCCATCCATCCATCCATCCATCTATCTATCTATCTATCTATCTATTTCAGCTAGGGTCTCTCTGATATGTAGCTCTAGCTGTCATGGAACTCACTGTAGACCAGGCTAGCCTCAAACTCACAAAAATCCATGTGCATCTGCCTCCCGAGTACTGGCATTAAACATACAGCTGAGATAAAATTTTTTAAAAAAGAGTATTTATTTATTTGTTTGTTTGTTTGTTTATTCATTCATTTTGAGTAAGGGTGACACTATGTATCACTACCTGGTCTATAACTCATAATGTAGACCAGGCTGACCTTAAACTAGTAAGAGTTTACTGTGTGTGTGTGTGTGTGTGTGTGTGTGTGTGTGTGTGTGTGTGTGTCTTGTGCGTGCACATGCGCCGTATATATGTGGGTGCCTCTGGAGGCCACAAGAGGGCATTGGATGCCTTGGAGCTGGAGTTAGGGTGTGGTGGACTGCCAGATGTCTGTGTCTGAACTTGGGTGCTCTTGATGAACAACAAGTGCTGTTAACATTTCAGCCATCTCTCTAGCCCTTAATTTTTTATTTTATTTTTAAATTAAGGGATACAAGTTTTTTTTTTTTTTAATTTTTCAAATAATTATTCATTTTTGTGCATGTACATGTATGTGTGTGGGCACTCTGGCCATGGCATACGTAGGAATTCAGCAGACAGTGTATCAGAAGTTATCTTTCTCTGTGTGTAGGTCTTGGGGGTTGAACTCAAACTGTCAGACTTCACAGCAAGTGCCATTGCCTGCAGAGTCCCCTTTGTGTCCAGTGGGACGTTTTTCTTTTTTTTAATTGAAGGTGAGTTTATACATTTTTTCTTTTATTTATTATGCTTTTTTACGACCTCTCTCAAGAAATCTTAGCTGGGCAGTGGTGGCGCACGCCTTTAATCCCAGCACTTGGGAGGCAGAGCCAGGTGGAACTCTCGAGACCAGCCTGGTCTACAGAGTGAGATCCAGGACAGGCACCAAAACTACACAGAGAAGTCCTGTCTCCAAAAACCAAAAACCAAAAAAGAAAAAGAAATCTTTACCTACTCTAAGATCACAAAATGTTTTCCCTTGTCTTCTAGAAAATTTTACAATTTGGCTTTTTACCGTGTGAGTTTGTTTTGTGGTAAGAATTAAGGTTCTTGTTTTCAACTGGATGTGGTGAGCAAGCCTTTAATTCCAGTACTCACAGGCAAATCTCTGTGAATTCAAGGCCAGCCTGGTCTATTTATTAAGACCTTGTTGCAAATAACCAAAATTAACCTCTCTGTGCGATCTGAGCATCTAACTCAGCTCATCAGGCCTTCATGGCAATTGCCCTTATCTATATTATATAATCTTTTGGCGGGGAGGATCACTGTGTGGTCCAGCTGGACTTGTGGCAAGTCTGTGCCTCGTGAAAGCTGGAATTACAAACAAGCACATGTCACCATGCTTGGCCAGTGTATGAGTATCAGAACTTAGACTCCTGAGGAACTTCACGTTTTGTTTGGATTTCTTTAGTTTTCTACTAGCTGTCTTTTGTTTCACTTCTGTCTGTCTGGGGACCCAACGTTTCACTCTCTTATTTATGGTTCTTAGTTTTTTCCACTCAGACCTTCTTCTTGTCTTTTTTTGTTGTTTGTTTGTTTTTCGAGAAAGGGTTTCTCTGTGTAGCTTTGCGCCTTTCCTGGAACTCACTTGGTAGCCCAGGCTGGCCTCGAACTCACAGAGATCTACCTGCCTCTGCTTCCCAAGTGCTGGGATTAAAGGCGTGCGCCGCTACCTCCACCTTACTAGATTTTTTTCAATTGTTTTTTAAAATTACATTTATTTAGTGTTTGTATGTGTATATGTGTTTGGGTGTGGTCCCCATCACGAACATGGTCGTCAGAGAAACTGGGGGAATTGGTTCTCTGCAACTCAAGTGTTTGGCTTGGCAGAAAGCACCTTTACCAGCTGAGCCATTTCACCTGCCCAGCTTAACACCCTTTAGTCTTTATTGTTTAATCCATTTATTACTCTGTGTGTGTGTGTGTGTGTGTGTGTGTGTGTGTGTGCGCGCGCGCGCGCGCGCGCGCACGCTTAAGCATGCTTATGTTTGTGACCGTGATGGTGTGGAGGTCAGGTCGGCAGGCTTGATGAGACCCGCTTCGGTGGGAGTTTAGGTCCCAAAGAGGAAGTGTGGAGGTGAGAGTGTGAGGGTGACTCCGATGGCTGCCAGTGGCACTTTTTGAAAAAAGACTACACCTTTTTTTTTTTTAAAGATTTATTTATTTATTATGTATACATGAGAGGGTGCCAGATCTTATTACAGATGGTTGTGAGTCACTATGTGGGTGCTGGGAATTGAACTCAGGACCTCTGGAAGAGCAGTCAATGCTCTTAACCTCTGAGCCATCTCTCTAGCCCCCAAGACTACACCTTTTATACTCTATATTGCATTTAGAATTAAATGGAAGAAAATGGGCATGTGAGCTGGGGTGTGGCTTGAGATTAGGGATTGAGAAAGCTAGCATTGACCTTTGTTAGTTATTTGGCGGTGATCTTACCCTGCGAGGAAATGTCACAAAACACGACAGAATCCACTAGCAAGAGTTTTATTAAGATAAGAGAGAGAGACAGGTGTGCTCAGGCCTGTTGAAGAGACACGTGCATGAAGAAGGAAGCCGGGAATATGGAATGGCTATTTTGACCCAAAACTGGCTGGGCGGAAGTGTCTAGGTCCGCCGGGCTTGGGCAGTCCTGCCCAACCATGGGGGCGTGTTGTGAATCTATCATCCCTTACTCTTCTTTTTTAAAAGAGAAAAAACTGTGGCTGAGTGGGTATGGGGCGTCGTTTCTCTTGAAGACTGCTTCTGGCTGAATGGTTGGTGTCGGTTGGCTCTTGGGGGAAATGGGGAGGGTAGCTTGTGAAGTCCTGGGATGGTGGTGGTGGGGGTCCTGGAATGAAGTTCTGCTGTCCCCTTGTTCTGCAGCTGTGCATCCTTTGTGGTAAGGCTGGGAACCTTTTGTCTGACAAGATACTGGTGACATAGAAAAAGCTTAGAGAAAAAAGAATCATTATTATTTTATTTTTGGAGTTGGCATTTATCTGAAGTAGATCTGGCCTTAGTACTCTGCTTAATTTTTATCTGAGATAAGACTTATTAGAGGTAGTTTATTTAAGGCAACTGTTTCCTTCTTTAGTTTAGCACCTGAAACGCAGGTGATCAGTTACTGAGTGTTGGACAATGATAGACTGTTGTATTACATTTTTCCTTACCGCCTGGATATTTCTGATGGTCCTTTTTGCCTCCAGCTCTGTGTGGCCCTAGTTGGGAAAGGAAGGGGTGATACCTTATTCCTCTGGAACTGGTGACAAGGCAGTGGATCCTGATGTCCTCTGGAGCTTGAGAGTACAAATCCCTGTTTGTTTTACTGTATATGAAGAGAGATTTTCCTGGGATGGAGGTGAGATAAAAGGTTTTAGGTGAGACAGGTGGACCCAGTGAGGAAAGCCCTCGAGTTTAGCAGCTGTAGTAGTCACAAGAATTACCTTGAAGGGTCCCTGCCACTTAGGGGAAAGATGTGAAGGGCGCTGGTCTGGAGGAAAGAGAAGAACCTGATCCCCGATGTGGATTGGAGGTGGACAATTATTGTCACACAGCTGAGGTAATGAACAGCCTGCCTAGGATAGACCTTAGGTGACATAAAAGAGTAGTTAACAGGCTATCTGAAACAGTTGCAGGGTTGGATAAAAGACCTGGTGTTAGACCTGGCCTTCCATACATTAGTTCAAACAGAGAAATTGAAAGAGGCTTTTTAGGAAGAGCCCTGAGCCTGAGAAGAGCTAGAGGCAATAATCTTACCCAGTCAAGGTGAAGTTCCTGTGACATCTTAGTAAGAATAGTTTTTAAAGACCGGTTGGTACGCTCCATCTTTCCTCAGGATTGAGGACGGTATGGGATATGAAAATGCCAAGGAATGTTAAGAACCTTAGCTAGTGTCTGGGAAATCTGAGATGTGAACTCCAGGCTATTTTCAGATTGAAGAGAAGCAGGAACCCCAAACTGAGGAATAATTTCTTGGAGAAGGAGGTCTGCAACTGTCTGAGCCCGCTTATTAGAAACTGGGTATGCCTCCACGAGAGGAGAGGCTGGCAAGGGAAAAGAACTGTTAGAGTCAGTAGAGTGAGTGGCTAGGAGAAGGAGGA